TGTCGGTAATGTTTCATCGGAAAGAAATTATACGGAAAGTTAACTAACGACCAGAGACGTAACAATATTGTTACACCTCCAGTCGTTAGTTAGTTTTCCGTAAATTCGTTCCGACGAACCTTTAGCGACACAAGTCCTTTGTTAAATAAAACTGGTTTATTATTTCCGAATACAACTTACGATACACTTAATTTCAACAGTCGCGCTATAACAAACGCTCACGTCTCACGTGGCCAACAATATTTTGTCCGCATACATTCAATTACTCATTACCTACACATTGTCCCGTCACGTTGTGACCATCTTATATATACCATACTACCCCCAATCTAGTAATCTCCCGACAATTCACGAAGTTTCGAGAAAGAAGTGGCGTGATACTAGTCACGTGACCTCGCTGACGCAACAATATTTTATTTTTCTGTCAAGGGCACACAACCAAAATTCTGGACTATACTGGTAATATGAAACGTGAGGACATTCAAGGACGCCAATGTTTCGTGAGTAGAACAAACATATATCAAAGTGATTTCTACATTTAGTGCTCGAAAATTCTTAAAAGGTTTAGACTTTTCATTTTCTGCCAACTTTATCTAGTTTGAAGTTGTATAAAAATGGAATACTATTTCAAAAAATTCAAAATTTTGGAAAAAACAAAAACTGGTGTGAATTCTCAATTAAAATTACATTTATTAATAACTTAGTACCAGTCTCATGAAGGAAAAAGGCTTACCTATAAAATCGTGTACTGTTATTGTAGTTCGTTTATATGGTTAAAATAGACACGATAAATATTCAGCTTTCCACCCCTTAGTATAATAAACTTCTTGTGTAAGTAAAGAGGGCGCCACTTTCTTCCCAGTTTCCAATGCACCGGTACACTCGTTCTGATAAATGAACGAAAGTTATGAAAACCTAAACGGGAACGTATTTCTTAAACTGGCAGTGACTAACAAACACAAACAAAATTAAATCGTTCTAACACCAGGAAAATACAAAATAAAACAACATACATCTCACGTTTTTAAATTAAATAACTTCAAATATCAGATTTTAAAGAACATAACGTATAGAGAGGGCTTGTATTGTAATGTTCATGATATATAACTCGCTCCCTGGAGGTTAACTTTAATATGGCATGTCTGCATGCGCCGTAAATAAGCCATAAAATTAGAGGATAGGGTGTTCTATTCGGAAAACGTTGATTAGAGTCACGACCGAGACAATTCACCCACGTATATATGCTGGTAAATCTGTTACATATGTGTATTACAGTAGCAATTTTCGTGCCGAGGTTCGAATCGTCAGCTCGTAGGTTAAAGTTACTTCCGTTGGTAACTTTCTCTCTGGGGAGAACGTCTTCTTGCGTGCAAGTAATTAGTTTCTACTGTTATTATCTACCTAACAATGCCCGGCTTTTGTACACTGGTATGTCGCTCACGTCGCTTGTATTACTGTTGTATAATAAATATTAACCTGTCGCTAAAGAAGGCCTCACTAATACTGGTGTATTTCATAATGCCAGTCAGTACATCGGCTTATTCTCACGTTAAATTCCAGAAACCAACGAGCGAAACTTTTTTGTACCGTTTCTTCTGAGAAACGTTTACTTTTTAAAATTTTATTTCATCAAATAAAAGTTTTATACGGAGAACAATAGAATATTCACAGCACAGCAACCTTTATTTGAGCACTTTCTTCTCTTTCAAGACAAAGTATTCCAAGGGTAAACTCCACCAAAGTAAACCTAATTTCACGCTGTTGTATCACAATTTCTAGAAGTAAGAAACAACATAGTTCCGATTACTCATGTCGTATCCAGTCTGAAAACAATAGCTGACGTGAACATTTTAGTCATCAAAGAAATGGAGCTTTTTCTCTTCGAACCCGTTCAAAATATCTCATTCCAGTTTTTATAGTAAGTACAAGGAAAATATGCGCCTTTCATTTCTCCATTTCTATCTTAAATCGTGTTGTATCCAGTAATTCAGATGAATTCAGCGTGTCGGTGTGAGTACAGACACGCAGTTTTACCCTCGCCTGCACGAAAACACAAATCTCGGCAAAAACGTGAAATTCCAGACAGCCGATACTCATCGCAAGGTCGACGTTCTACCGTAGAGAGTGTTTGTTATAGGAGGCGCTTTCCAAGAGGCGTAGTGTTTACTCGTGCGTGTGACCGAATTAGAAAGTCATTCAGTCGGCCTGGTGTAAAGTTTCAACAAACAAAATATTTGATTCATATGATCTTGTCGCAGGCGAGTAGTTTAAAATCACTGATGAATATTCATGTTATGATCTTGTTACAGATGAGTAGTTTAAAGTGACTGATGAATATTCATGTTATGATCTTGTTACAGATGAGTAGTTTAAAGTGACTGATGAATTTTCATGTTATGATCTTGTCACAGATGAGTAGTTTAAAGTGACTGATCAATTTTCATGTTATGATCTTGTCACAGATGAGTAGTTTAAAGTGACTGATCAATATTCATGTTATGATCTTGTTACAGATGAGTAATTTAAAGTGACTGATAAATTTTCATGTTATGATCTTGTCACAGATGAGTAGTTTAAAGTGACTGATAAATTTTCATGTTATGATCTTGTTACAGATCAGTAGTTTAAAGTGACTGATAAATTTTCATGTTATGATCTTGTCACAGATGAGTAGTTTAAAGTGACTGATGAATAATCATGTTATGATCTTGTCACAGATCAGAGGTTTCAAGGTAGTTAAAGTCGAAACTCGGAAGTGATAAAAACTCCACATTTCAGGCCAACTATAACCGTGAACTACAAGAAATAAAAATAGTTGGACATTTGTATATTTTATCTTTATTTTGATTTTGCCACTTAGAACTTGTTGAAGAAAAATTTTATGCTTTAGTGATAAAAAACCAAGAAATTAACACAAGCCGTAACTCTATGTAGAAAACGCACAGGTAATGTAATTGATTTAATTATGAATACGCACTTTTGATTGAAAGTAAAGAAGAATGTAAAACAATATGTCAACCACATTATATCTTCTATATCCGGGGCCGACGAGGTCTTTCGGATAATACCAAGACTCTTCAAGACAGATGAAATACGACAGACACAGTAATTACTTGAACACCAACTGTTATGGTGAAAGTAAAGAAGAATGTAAAACAATATGTCAACTACATTATATCTTCTATATCTGGGGCCGACGAGGTCTTTCGGATAATACCAAGACTCTTCAAGACAGATGAAATACGACAGACACAGTAATTACTTGAACACCAACTGTTATGGTGTAAACTGGATCAAATTGATGACGTGTAATTTCTCATCACTTATATTTATGCAACATTAGGATAAGGTATTTGAACACAATGGTTTTTATTTATTTAAACACCTTATTTAATTAATTATGAATGTAACAATTGGAGTTTTATTTGGAGGCATAGCTGATCAGTAAAAATTCAAATCTTACCTTCATAAACGTGCGATTTGTTGGAGCAGCTACTGACGGAGTAGAACATAACGTCTGGATTGTTACAGTCAGAAGCTACCTTGGCACACAGTCCCGTGGTGTCGGGAACCACGCCCGTATAGTCTCCGGTGATGGGACAAGACGTGGCCTCTTTCACGACAACTTCTATGGATGACAAGAATAGATAAGTTGAAGCTTTGAGAAGAAAAGGAAGTATGAAGATAGACAGAATTCCTTATAATGCGTAAGGACACCTGGCGGCAAACAATAGGAACTTTAAAACGAAAAACAAATGTTAGGAAAAGTATGACTTTAGGATAAAAAGTATAAATTTTATATATTAATATGAAAGTGACGGTCAAAATATAAGAACTTCTTTTAAACACATAAATATATAGCTTGGTGTTGGGCTATCTGTACGTCGAGGAAAAAAAAGCCCCTGAATTTTACTGTTGATTTCGTAACTGTTTTACAATCTGTGGACAGGGCGTGGCCTAGTGGATTTCGTTTCATAGCAGTAAAATCATCGTGGGTGTTCGATAAGAGTAACAGTAAAATCCTACTATTTGATTAGAGTAGTAGTTCTCAAAGTGTAGTCTACGGACTGGTTCAAAACAGAACAGGTGGGATAGGACCGGTAGCTAGTCCGGGTTTGCCCCGCTGAAGTGGTACGCAGACGAAAAAACCCGAGAACCCGTAGATTAAAGAAGCTCAATAGATGGCGGTGTGTGATGGTGACTAACTGCCTTCCCTCTAGTCTATAAGTTCAAAGGTAGAGACGGCTAACACAGATAAATATTGACTAGCTTTGCAGATAAACAAACAAACTTTATCAACCAATAAAACAGTAAATGTCTTAACAATATTAAACAGTAAATAAATATATTTTAATGTTTCTAAAAAATATATGTATAATAAATTAATTTAAGTTCTGTGTATTTTTTATCGCTTATAGAAACTAATATTTTTTATGATAGTTGTATTTCTTTCGTACAGGGTTTCTTCCTCGTCTATAACTCTACGGATTTACAATGCTAAAATTAGAGGTTAGATTCTCCGCAGTGGACACAAAAGATAGCCCTATGAGGCTTTGCCCTAAAACAAACAAATTATTTATGTCTGGAAGGTTATTGGGTGGAGTCGTTGTAGGGGGATTATGAACAAAAAAATTCACCTGTGTAGTTGTGCAAATTTTGGAATAATATTTCATCTTGACAGTCGCTTTGAGGATTATGGGTAAATACGCCGAATTTAGTTGCTATTATTTACTAAATCTTAAAACATAACTCGAACTTTCTGTTACTAATAAAAAAACATAAATTTATAACAGAAGTAACAATAACTGAAACTTAAAAAATGTTTTACTTATTCTTAAACGACTTTTCTTGACTGTTTGTGTCGTCCATAAGTTTGAATTGATAGACTAGACAGTTAGTAAACAGTAGCAACCCTTGGGATACACTTGTCTGACCAAATAGTGAGGTTTGACTGTTTCTGTCAGAAATAGTCGTCCACTAACTGTCTAGTCTATCAATTCAAACTTATCAACAGTAACAACCCTTGGGATACTCTGGTCTGACCAAATAGTGAGGTTTGACTGTTTGTGTCTGAAATAGTCGTCTATAAGTTTGAATTGATAGACTAGATAGTTAGTCAACAGTAGCAACCCTTGGGATACTCTGGTCTGACCGAATAGTGAGGTTTGACTGTTACTCTTATTGTGCACCCACAACTCTTAAGAACGAAAAGTGTTTTTTCCGCCATTGGACTGCGAAACATGAACCTTAGGATTCACAGTCTGAGCATTTTAAACCAGTTGGCCACGCTCGGTAGATTATAAGTAATGAACAATAACCAGTCTTGTATGTAATCTATCAAGTAACTTCGTAAATTTCGGGTCTGAGTGAAGTGTTAGGGAGACTGATGCGATAATTATGTTGGCGAGTGTTTTAGTGATCCTTACTTCCTTGTGTGATCCATTCTTTGGTCTGAAACTGTTCATCCCTGCACAGATCTTCCGAAAACTGGGAACTAGGAGTGGATCCTAACATCATCTCCACGATGTTGTGACTTCGTCGTTGGAGCCAAACACAGTTGTAGAAAGACTCTCCGCTGTAGCAGAAAACATAACATTTAACACTTGGAGTTTTAGGATGCTAGAATCTGTAGAAAACACACAACTTGTAACACTTGGAGTGTTAGGATGCTAGAATCTGTAGAAAACACACAACTTGTAACACTTGGAGTGTTAGGATGCTAGAATCTGTAGAAAACACACAACTTGTAACACTTGGAGTTTTAGGATGCTAGAATCTGTAGAAAACACACAACTTGTAACATGATGCTAGAATGTGTAGAAAACACACAACATGTAACATGATGCTAGAATGTGTAGAAAACACACATATAACATGATGCTAGAATCTGTAGAAAACACACATGTAACATGATGCTAGAACGTGTAGAAAACACACAACATGTAACATGATGCTAGAATCTGTAGAAAACACACATGTAATATGATGCTAGAACGTGTAGAAAACACACAACATGTAACATGATGCTAGAATGTGTAGAAAACACACAACATGTAACATGATGCTAGAATGTGTAGAAAACACACATATAACATGATGCTAGAATCTGTAGAAAACACACATATAACATGATGCTAGAATCTGTAGAAAACACACATGTAATATGATGCTAGAACGTGTAGAAAACACACAACATGTAATATGATGCTAGAACGTGTAGAAAACACACAACATGTAACATGATGCTAGAATGTGTAGAAAACACACATATAACATGATGCTAAAATGTGTAGAAAACACACATGTAACATGATGCTAGAATGTGTAGAAAACATACAACATGTAACATGATGCTAGAATGTGTAGAAAACACACATATAACATAATGCTAGAATGTGTAGAAAACACACAACATGTAACATGATGCTAGAATGTGTAGAAAACACACATATAACATAATGCTACAATGTGTAGAAAACACACAACATGTAACATGATGCTAGAATGTGTAGAAAACACACATATAACATGATGCTAAAATGTGTAGAAAACACACAACATGTAACA